TTAATTATTTAATTTTAATTATATTTAATTGAATTAAAGGATATTTAATTATTTAATTTTAATTACATTTAATTGAATTGAAAAGTATTTAATTATTTAATTTTAATTACATTTAATTGAATTGAAAAATATTTAATTATTTAATTTTAATTATATTTAATTGAATTAAAGGATATTTAATTATTTAATTTTAATTACATTTAATTGAATTGAAAAGTATTTAAGTATTTAATTTTAATTGCACTTAATTGAATTGAAAAGTATTTAATTATTTAATTTTAATTATATTTAGTTGAATTAAAAGATATTTAATTATTTAATTTTACATTTGTGGAACTTGCTACATTTAGGACGAGGGAAACAATATCTCTGTCGTTGCCTTTCACAAAATAGATTTCACAAAAATAAAGTTACCATCTGTCTTATTTAAAGTATCTTTTGAACTAGTCATTTTTCGACCATGTTAATTTATATCTTTTTGCATCTACGTACATTGTAGAATGATGTGTGCTAAAGAAAGGAAAGACTTATGTCTGAAAAAAAAAAATTATATATATAATAACATAACATAATAATATATATATATATATAATGTAACATCGTCAATACGTAATCCAAAAGAGTCGATTAAAAAAAGAGATTTCACTCCTCACAGTTGCATGAGTTACCCTGTACTCGATGCTGCCTGCTGATTGTCCACGATTTCCTCCCGATCCAAGTGCTTATCTTTAACAAACCTGTGATTATTTTCAAAAAAGAAAGAGAAGCGAATAATGCAGCGAACTCGATAGAAAGAAGTTCACGCATAATGGTACGTTCGAACGACTTTAATGTTTATCTTGATTACGTTCCGACGTAACGGATCTCACGGTAGCATGCATAATACTTGCGAGTGCCCTCGATACGATACGAGCTGCTGATATGAGAAATATCGAATATGTAAATTGGCAAGTGTAAGAATATGAGGCATATTAAACGGGGGAAATAAAGGATGTTCAGTGTATCGAACATGCGATGGGAAGAGTGTTGACTGTATCAGTGATGCTCGGTATACTGAACGTGTAGCATAAAGAGGATATCCACTGCATTAAACACTTAACACGTGGAATTCCTTGTATTCTCATCACGTCTCGCGCGAAATATCTTAATGCACGATACGACGAGGTATTTGTAAGTAACTTCCAACGAGAAAACTCTCGTTGAAAGTTTTCATCTTATTATGAAATTACCTCAAGGATACACTACGTATATATAATACGTATTCAAACTATAAAGTATGTGTGTAACGAGTGTTTGCACACGAAGAGATTATAAAATATGAAATGTACGAATAAAATTTAATGATTAACATTAAATTTGTAAGATGTTTAACAAATGGAGCAAAATTTATTAGAATTCGTAATACATTCAGAATACAAAATGCGAAGTCTTTGACTTGTAAGATACTTGCGACATAAATCACGTGATCAATTTAAATTACAACTTGATAGAATGCATGCTGGACGATATTCCAAATAAATCCCTAACTCTCTCTTATATGTATTAACTCGTCATCTAATACATCGTCTAGAATAATTTTCCCACCTCCACGTGGTATATTAAACACATTCAACCTAATCTATTTACGAAACACAAAAAACTCTGAACAGAATCCAGCTTGCTTTTAATTCGGAAAGCAAACTTAGTCAACAAATCAACAACATCGTCGTCTTTATTTTTCAATAAATTGTCTTCTTTACGCGACACTTGAGTTGAAAATCGCGTGTAAATGGTTTCCGCCTTTCGAGATTTGTCTTTATTTCCCACCAGTTGAACCCCTTTGAGACGTTATACGTCAGAGAATCCCGCCAACGTAACTAGATAGATCAATCGGATGATGCGATCGTCTAAACCTTTCGTCTGAATGATTGTTGCAGAGCTGGGAGCAGCTGGTCGTCTCGAAGCTAAAATGGGAATTGTCGGCTGTAACGCCCGGTGACTTCCTGGTGCACATCCTCAACAGATTGCCGGTGCCGCGTACCTGGGACCCGGTGATGGTCAGGAGGCACGCGCAAACCTTCATCGCCCTGAGCGCCAGAGGTGAGAAACGATCGGGATTACCCGAGCTGTCTGCACATATATATTTTTATGTATTTATGTATGTGGGACTAGCGTGCTTGGCGAATGCGTGGCCGCCGCATCGTGGAAAATTCGAGGTAACGAAGCTAAATGAAGCGGAAACCAATCCACAGGAACGCGTCGTTTTTTTTTTTTTTTTTTAATTTAGCTACGTATTTAGTGATTTTAGGGAATTTCGAATTCGACAGTTTTGGGTTTAGAAAGTTTATATTTAGGAATTTTGAATGCGTGTCGGAGTTTTTTTTTTTTTATCTAGGAAATTCAGGACTTAGGAATATCTAGAGAAGTTTTTCGACTCTGGAACTTTTTGTTCAGAAAGTTCAGTCACCAATTTATAGGAATTTTTCGGAAGGATAATTGAAATTAATTAAAATTTGGGATATTTTTCTTTTTTGTTAGCACTTCTTGGATTTTCAAGTGTTTTAAACTTTCGTTACATGTTACTCATGCTTCATCGAAGATGTCAACGTCTATTTTATTTGCTTGTTTGTTCGTCTCTTTGAAATGTCGTCAATTTTTTATGGCCTTTCTTTATTTAATGATGCTGAATTAAACTGCGCGTGCAAAGTGTATCCAATGTTTCCCGAACAGAGTGGAACGATATCGCGTGAACGGATACTGTTTTGAATACAGAGCAGGATCGACTGCTTCAATAGATAACGCATTAAGAATTTCAAGGGAGAATAATAAGTCGAATTGATTATTTATGGATCGAGAACGTGTGATTCGTCAGAAGTCGGAATTCTAATTGGTGAAATTAACATTGGAAATTAAAAGAGCAACACGTAGAAATCATTTTGCCTTACGATCTCAGATTTATTTACAATGTCGTACCAATTTTCGTAAAAGTATCGAATAAAGCGCTGAACTAATAAATTGAATTTGGAATTTTGAAATTATAAGAATTCGGAAGAAAAAAATTACGAAAGAATTAGTCGCCAATTACAAAAGAAGAAATTTCTAGAAAAGATTCTGACACTTGAAACGTTGTCGACAATGAGTCAGTTACGTTGTTCCAAAAAAACAAAATTATAATTCGTCCTACTTATTTCTACGTTCGTAAAATTGATACGAACGACACTTCAAACTGCGCATATGTATACTTATTTTTCATAATGCTCTAATTATTGCAAACTGGTTAATGATAATCAACAAGGTTAATAAATTCTTGCATATTCTACGCCCTCGTGCATTATCTGTATTTCATTTCATTTCTTTTTTTATCATGACAGCTCGCTAAATATTCGAATATTTTAAAAGCTCGATAATAATGATAACACGATTTTATCTTTCTTCCTTTTTTTTTTTTTTTTCTATTTCAAATCTATAATGAGAGACTCGTTCGCGCATTTTAAACGCGACAGTGGACCGGAAGTGCATGGAACGAGCATTCGTTCATTAAAATGGACCGTTATCATTTCTCGCGAGATTTCAAATGTTTCGATTCATCGGGCAATAAATCATCGCATCACGTGACATTTGTAAATTCAACGCGAAACGGGGGAACAATTCTTTGAAATATAAATAAAATCTACACATCCAAAACTGCAATGGTTATTATAAAGTTGAGGAACGTTTGATAATGAATCAAGCTCAGACTGTATCAGTTATTAACACTAGAATTACCAAAACGGTCCAAATGACAAATTTATAATTTTCTTCGAGTAATTCTGCGGATTTACTATGTTACGTTTTTTTTTTTTTAGAAATTCGAGTGGTTTTTGTAAAATATATGAATAAAAGCTGCCGTGTTATAAATCTTTTCCCATTCCTTGCATTCTAATTTCATTGACTCTATTTTTGTACGTTAATCTTCGGTAGTTCTAGTCTGTTAAAGTTGAGAAATACTTAATTAACAAACGACGTTTCGCCTTTGTTCTAAAGTGGAAACTTTGTCTCTGTTGAATTAAAATATTATCGTGAAAGAGTCTTCTTGTAAATTTTAAAACGTTTGACATCTCCAAAGAGCAAAGAGTGCGAATGTTTCTTCGCGTGAACATGATGCGCGTTTCTTTCAAAGGGTTAAGAATTGGCCGGGCGAGGAATTTTCAGACGAATTTTAAAACGCGGCGCTTGTTAGATATGATAATCGCGTGGCGCAAACGCGTAGTAAACGCAACGCGCTTTAAAATGCAATTTTTACGCGCGGGCCTTCATTGTTAGCCTCGTTAGAATCGTGCCACGGCATCGTAAACAATCGGGAACGTGCATCGTTAACTCGCGCGTTAATGAATATGCCGGGTGCATAGTATAATGCACCCGACGGAAACCGTCGCGTAACTACTTCGAATCGATTCCATGCGTCCCGTGTCTTTTTTTCCCCCTTTCTTCTCTTTTCTCGTTCTCTTTCTTCAGTTTCTCTCTTCCTTCGTTTAAATGGGTCGTAGACGTGCAATTATAGACAGAATGTAAAATGATGCACGTGGGTTGATATAACGAAAGTACAGATTTGTAACTCCTGTAATTATTTTTGTAAAAGGTACGATGGGAAGTAAAGAAAGTGTTTTACGTGGGTATTTTTTATGTTTAATAGATCTCGCGTCTAGTTAGAAAGGACATTTGGATGGATTAACGAAATATATAATAGGTGTTTTTGGTCATTTATGCTCATTCAAGTAGAAGCAGATTCTTCATGACTATAGTCTTCCTACGATCATTAATCATGAGCCATAACCTTGTAAATATAGGTAATCGTGTGTTGTACAGTCTTGACATATTTATCACGATCATTTTTAATACGATTGTTTTAAAAACTAACGAAATAGTCTACCAATCTACATAAAAAGGGCGTGATTTTTATTTTTTGACGAAGCTTGGATTAAAATCGAATTGCAGCAGAGAATTCGACGTTGACATCGAAACAGTAAATTTCTTTAAGATAAGAACTTTATTAACAATTAAATCTAAAGGAAGTAACGAATATTCTACTTGTCCCAATTCTTCACCGAGTCTTTTATTTACAAGAAAATGCCACAAGATACAGTAATCTATTTATCACCGAATACAGCGTGAATTCACACGAATTATCGTACATATGTTCATTTCGTGAATGTAATTTAAACAATTCATTAGACACTTCGTACAATATCTCACGTCTGCAATCTACAATTGTCAAACAATCAATATTTATTTATCAAACAGACGAGCCTTGTGTTAACGATAATAATTTCATTATTTTCACAAAAATCGTAGAATCGAAAGAAACGAACAGAGAGAAAGAGAAAGGATGGTGAGAACCAAGAGGAATAAGAACAATAAGCACGAAAAGAAGAAGAAGAAGAAGAAGAAGAAGAAGAAGAAGAAGAGGGCGTCGAACACGAGGAGATCGCGAGACACGTTTAAATCCCTTTCTGGCTGCTGCCAGTCGGTTGTTATTACAAGCGAGGATGGTAAAAAGCAAGGACCATCGTCCTTCGTCGTCTGGCCGGGCTCCTCCTGGCGGTGGTCCCCAGGAGAAGAAGGAGAAAAGGCTAGAAGCGGCCCGGGGAGACGATGATTGTTTCTCACGCGCCAAACTAGGTAGCTCGATTCGAGTCGGTTGACCCTCTTTTTCACCAACGAAAAGAGAAGCAAACGGCGCCACGAATTCCAGCCGCTTCCTTGAATCGCGGAAGGTCCAGTGAACCAAGAGCTCACCGGGGAGTCACCTTTTTCACATCTTCCACGCCCTTCGCGTCCTGCGGAGCACGAATTTTCAACAGAGATTGTCTCCATCACGTGGATCGATGGCAATCGACGTGAACAGCAATTTTTTTTCTGTTTTTCGCTTCAGTTTCTTTTGCTTTGTTTTACTTTTGACATAGTTTATTTTATTCTATATTATTTGATTTGGTCTCGTCTCATTTTAGTCCGATTTTAGTCTTGTCTTGGTTCAGTTTAGTTTGGTTTATGTTGTTTTGTTTTATTTTATTTTTTATGGACTCTTGCTTGATGGAGTAAATACAATATATTTCGTTTTTACTATTTTTTTTTTTTTTTTTTTAAGTCCCGAGGATAAAATGGAATCTCAATTTTTATTTTAATCTATATGATAGTATCTCTTTCTTCGAGTTTTATATTCACTGTGAAAAGGAAAATGTCAGAAAGTAAAGTTTGCCAGTTAAGTAATAAAATTAGTTAGTATATTGGTTTTTCGTACTCATGTTTTATGCACTTCGAAACAACGTAATTTGACGTATAAAATATACTAAATTTGTAAAGTTTCACACTCTGCTTTTGTAGATTTTCATGGGAACATGAAGATGACGGATAGAGAGCTAGGGACGAGATTTCAATTTAGTCGTCATTTCGAATGCAAAGAGGACGAAAAAAGGAATGTACGTAGAATGTAGAAGTAGACTGAAGAGAAGTGTGGAAGGATCTTGAAAAAAAAAGGGTGTAAGAGGCCGAAAAAGCAGAATACGAGAAGAGGCACGCCAAGAAAGGGGCGCCATCAAGAAAGCACAACTAAAAATGAAGTGCCAGCAGAATGAAAAGGAGTCTGAGGGAGGAAGAAAGTGAAGTAGACCTCCAAAAGCGAACAACGGTACGAGAAGAGAACGAAAGAAATAAAGATGAAGTACGTGATGAAGTTCAGGAAAAGGTCTATCAAGAGAAGAATGAGTATTGTACTAAAACCTTGGTACCAGAAGAGAAGACCCGAGGAATATTGAATTACGCGAAGGAACTAACAGTGAAAACAGTCATCAAAAGAGAAAAAAAGAAAGGTCCAAAGTAAAAAGGAATTGAATATGGAGGAAAGAAGGAGATTTTTGTGGCAAGGGGAATTTAGAAAAATTACGGAGAAAGAAAAATGTGGAAAAGAAGCTGTGTGTGTGAATAGATTGTAAAAGATTCTGTAAACATTGTACATAGAGGTGAAAAAAAATTTTAGAATAGGAAAAAAAAAGTGAAAATTGGAGATTTATGATGAAATTGAGTAGTAAAGAAATTGAAATTTTTCAAAGATCCGAGAGAAATAAACAAAGTCTGAAGGAGATGAGAAGAAATCAAACTTTGTTCTAAAATATAATATATAACTAAAAATAAAGGAGAGAAGGTGAAAGAAAAAAATTAAAATGAAAAAAAAAAAGGATAAACTCTGAAAGAAAATGGAAAACACTGGAGAATTAAAACAGAAATAGAACGAATTCCCATTAATTCCATTAAAAAGAAATTTTCCCTTCCAAAGTTTCATAATCGTGAAGTAAAATAGGACAGAAAGACTTGGGATGAAAATTTTCAAAACGAACTACGAATCCATTCTGAATGTATGACCAAAGAGCAATGAAGAGGAAAAAGAGGAGAATGGAAATCAATCGAACGGGGGTGGTCTTGATCGAGGAATGTCGTTCTCCAATGGTAATCCACCATCCATGAGAACACACCTGCACGAGTCTGTATATAACGCTGTTTCTCTCTCTCTCTCTCTCTCTCTCTTCTTCCTCTCTTTCTCGGCTCGGCAAATTTAAGAGCGGCTTCGTGGAATTCCATTCTTAATGGCTTTATTACGTCGTGTGCTCGCGCACACTCTCCGTTGGATTTCAGCTCGTCCATTGGACAATTCGGTTGTCCAGGAACCTGTTCCCATCTTCCCATGAATGAATAGGCGGCCGCGTTTGAGAAAAATCCGCGCATAACCCGCGCCGGATTATTACACACACTGGCCAGCATAAAAGCGTGAATATACGAACGCGTCAATGACTGTCACGTTTGTTGTCGATCTCAAGGACCGCTTTGCGATGGTTTGCTCGTCGACCATTCACGTTCGATCACGGCTGCCTCTGAACGGCGTTTCATCGATTAACGCTCCATTTGAAGTCTGTTTTCTTTCTCTTTGGAGAGAAATTTCATTTTGTCGTAGGTCCATCACCAAATGGATCACAAAAATAATTGATGCATAATTTATGTAACGTCGAATGTGAACGTTATGGGTTCATATTTTCCCGAGAAGTGATATTTTTAACAAAATAGATAAATGTACAATACTTATTTATCCGCAAAGATTCGATGATCTTCAGAATTGAGAAATCTAGAAAATTGATATTCAGATAGGCTTAGCTTCTAAATATTATACCATATAATATAACAAAACAACAAATAGAGAAACAATTTGAAGTGCAATATCTGGAGATTTTATTGATAGATAGCGACAGCAGTTAAAATATCGAAAGTACAGCACGATTCGTCAATCTCTCCTCGTTTTTTCGATATTTCATATAGACAATGAAGGTTTTTTATTTATTAGATACAATGTATATTTCTTTGTTTTTTTTTTTATTTCTTTTTTTGAGGGAATGTAAATACAGTACGTGGGATTTGTACTTAGGATTAAAGTTAGCAATTTAACTTGAAAGTGAAATTGGATAATATCGATCGACACTGTTAAACAGGATTGATATTAATTTGAAAGTAAAAAACCAATTTAATTTGAAAATTTCGATGCAGATCAAATTTATTAGATATATCATGAATTTGATCTTCTTACGGCTGAAGCTAAAATATTTGACGATGTATGAAATTAAAAAAGAAGAAAAAAAAATAGGAGCAGAATAGAAAATAACGATTCTACTTATTAAAAATTTTATATATTTCTTAGTGCAATTAAAAATTTTATATATTAAAAAAAAATAGAAGCAGAATAGAAAATAATGATTCCACTTATTAAAAATTTTATATATATTTCTTAGTGCAATTTTGCGCTTTAAAATCCGCAGTCGGCTGACCATTACAACGCAATCGAATTGAAAATCTCTATCCAAAGATCCCCCCATCTCAATTTCGCTGTGGGAAAACGTGCAGACGACTATTCGAGAAACGAGAGCAACAACCTATTGCGCCAACGAGGGTATTAGAAAGTCCGGGAACACAGATGTTTTTTCGGTCAGATGGACCGTTAAAAAGATGTGCCTATGATTACCACGAATTCGTACCTCTAAGACACAAGAACCTCCAACAGAGCTAGTTCCTTCGTAATTGTTTGTCAGTGCCTGTGTCCGGTTTTCGACGTTGCTCTGCGATAGTGTTAGCTGTGTTTCGCACGGCTTGCCAAGGTGGCAAAAGCTTTCACGGTGGAACACGGGCCGGAGGAAAGGCGAGAAATAGAGAGAGAGAGAGAGAGAGAGAGAGAGAGAGAGAGAAAGAGAGAAAAAAAACGAAAGAGAGAATTCTAGGTTGCGTGCTGTTTGTTCTGTCGGTAACCTTTTGGTCTTCGGTCTCACGAACACCGCATTTTTCAACGTCGTAAATCTTGTTTCGAATGCCCTTTTCCTGGGACGTGTCTACCTGCGACTTCTATTAGCAAATCTTGGCCTCGAGGGAAATGTTACGCGGAATTTTTAGCATTCGTTTCCACGTGCGAAACGGCGATCCGACGAGAGATAGCCTCTCGAACATCTTGCAGCTTGTTTTTTCTGAAATAATGGTAACGCGCTTCCATTCTGTTTAGCTGGGTTTTTGAGGCTTCGAGGAGGAGAGAGAAGGAAAAGGGAGGCTCCTCGCTGATTCGTAGGGAATCGGGTACTTCGTATGCCGTTCGTGTTACTTGAAATGGCTGAGAAGACGTGTGTTTGGAATTTGAAGAGCGATATGAGGGAATTTCACGTGCACATGTTATTAGAAGCGAGTGTGGATACAATGGAAATATGGTTAATGCACGCGAGTGAATTGATACTTAGGGGTTGTATTTGTCATTCTGATTCTTTCACTGGAATACTATAATATGAGAAAATACTGTACACTGTATATCGGTTATCAATAATAAGTCACGTATAAATATATAAGATTAAATATTATATATATATAATATCAGTTATCAATAATAAGCCACGTATAAATATTAAGATTATAAATATATAAGATTAATACCGGAACTACCGACGACGAAAGAAATTGTACTAGAGAAAGGAGTTTATAACGCAGCAAAGAACGAACATTTTTATTTTCATTACTATTTCACAAAGATCATTCGAATCTTTAAAAATATATAACCTGCGAAACTACTTTGCACGCATTTTGACCATTGATCGGTCAAGTTCCGGCGTTAACATATAATCTAGAATAATATAAGTTTGACGTAATAGTTTTAATAAAACAACAACAACAAAATTTTTATTTTCGCAGAGTACAAATTCTCGATGTACACGCCGAGCATGATCGCGGCGGCGAGCGTCGCGGCGGCCCTCCACGGTCTCGATTGGACAGGGAAAAGCGGTTACGGGCTGGCCGGTCTCCTCGACGAGCTAACTCGCATCACGGCTATCGAACAGGTTTGTCTCCTCTTGTATGATATTATTTCGCGACACTCGAGAAAATCCTCGGATAGCCACCGCTATCAGATTTAATATCGCAACTTCGTTTACACCCGGTTTGCCCCGTGTTTGTTGGAAATGAACGTCCCGCGAACAGCCCCTCCTGTCTATCTTCATCGAGAGATGGATGTGAAACACACGAGTTTCATCAGGCATTTTCGTTCGTTTAATTGCAAACAGATTTGATGAGATAACTGTGAGAGCTCTCTTTTATCTGGGACTTTCTTTTTTTTTTTATAAAAACCTGCAAAACAGCCGATTAATTCAATAAATTGCATCTAAGCCCCACGAGCGAAGATTTTACTTAAAATTAAAACAGAATTGAAATATTCTGTTTTAAAAAAATATTTAAGTAAGTAGTAGAAATAGAAATAGATGAAATTCTAGAATTCTTTGTAACGAACGTTATGTCTCTTCATTTCTTTTTCAAACGAAGTTTCGCTTTTCTTTTTTTATCTTTTACTTTTACCCTCTGATATTATTCAATCACGCATCGTTGAGAAATCGTTTTCACTTTGGCCGCGAGTCTCGACGATTCGAGATTATGAATGAACCAGAGGGGGCAGGTGGCCAATATAGTTATTCGTGTATACGTTTCTTCCTGCTTCTAAACACATGTGATCGTCGAAAATGTTGCGCTTACAGGGCGTAGACCCCATGCCGAGCCATTCACGCGTGCAATTTATTTGCACTCGGCGCGTTATGAATGTATAGTCTGCGCGTGTTTCAAATCGTCTTTTCCCTTTCTCGTCACGCTGTCTCGCTTTTTTTCGCCTGCTTAAACATGTGCCCGACACCTGCTACACTCCGTTCATCAGCACGTTTTTGCGCGACGTCGTTGGCTGGATTTGCCAACGATCTCTCGAACCATTCTCGAACATTCTCTCTGTCGATCAAAATTACACGCATGGCCGATTAATTAATTGAACTGTTTCGCGCTGATTCTTGCCAGTTTTTGTTGTGTGAAAAGGCTCGTAATGCAATAATTTTTAAATCGATTGCTTCGTTCTTCATTCTGTTAGTTTTGACATTTGTTACATATGTGTATAACACATTATTATATGGACAGATTTTCTAGTAAATCTTCGCGAGTCTTTCGCAATAATCCTTAAATTCTTTCTTTCTTCATTTCGTTGGTTTTTAACATACGTTCATGTTGATATGTGTAACGTATAATGTATAATTATATATGACACAATAATATATTAGTACATAGTATTTTCTATAATTTCTTGTAATTCAGTTTTGACGTATCATTGTACATTAAACATGCAGATGTGATAAATATTCAACGTACGTGAAACATTATTATTAACACATATATGAATCAATAAAACGGATAATTTTTTTTAGATCATCAACAATCATCAACAATACTGTTTATTAGGAAGTTATAATTTTTTAAATTTAATACCCATAAATGATATATACAATGACCAAATCATGTTCTCCAAAATTCATTAATCTTAAAAAAAAAAAGGTCAATTCAGTTCTAACCTAATTAATTTTTTCCTCTTATTGCAGGATTACCTGCAAGGATGCCTAGAGCAGATCGAAGAGATGGTGTCTCAAGCAATGACTGCCGAGCGTATCGGCGGGACCAGCCACCAGGTGACCGGGCCACCGCCGTCTTCGGGCACGCAGAGGCCTCTGGGGGACGAGATCACCAGCCAGGAGAAGATCCTGGAACACGAGAAGGCGGGCACGCCGACCGACGTGAGGGACGTTCATTTTTGAGAGACGCCGCTGAGGGAAACTCTGGCCAGGGTGACTCTCTGCTGAACCTGAAGGCCGAGGAACAAGCGATACCCAGCGATAACGACGACGACGACAACGATACTGAGGGACCCACGGCTAAGAAGAAAATGAAGAGTGACGAGGGAGTTTCGAGCCGTGAAATGCGCCAGAAAATTCCCGAAATGAACGAAAAAAGAAAAAAAAAAGAAAAAAGAGAAGAAACAAGAAACATGAAACAGAATGCATAAGATATGTTGTGCTTGCTCGAGCGTAACGTCGTTTGGTTTTCCCTTCGTCACCACTGTGAACAGAATCATCTTCAAGAAACAGAGAGAAAGAGAGAGAGAGAGAGAAAATGAAAAATGAAAAAAAAATGAAAAGTGTTCGATATTTTAGTGTTTTGCGCGGATTTCTGAAGATTCTGTAGATTCGTAGAACCAAGAAAAAAAAAAAAAAAAAGGAACATCGAGGGATTAGGGACAGTTTCTTTTTTTTATCAATTTTCTTTTTCAAAGAACTACGTCAAATCCCTCTTAAATGCATGCTCGGCTACCGAGCGAAGGATGATTGTTTCCCGCGAGCGTGTGCTCGACGAGAGAGTCTCGCGATCGATGGAAAACGAAGCACGAAACGTTTTAGTCGATCTACTTAGCTATCTAGCTATCCAACAGCTGTGTTATAGTTTTTAGTCGGAGATCGAGCAACGATCCAGCGCCGAGGAGAATCGTCCTAAAAAGCGAATCGTAATTCCGCGTGCAGAATCTTTTTATGTATATGTATGCGTATATGTATGTGTATGTATATGTGGGAGGGTCAGATGAAACACACGAGGGTCCGAATTGGTTCCCTGAACCGGCGGGCCCGCTTTGTTATTTAGTTGTACGCGTTTTTATTTGCAAGAATTCGTGCGCATCTCCGATCGTTCGAGGCATACGTCGGGATCGGTTTTGTTCTCAGTTCACATTTGACAGAGAGACTGCGTTGTTCGTCTCGAATCGTGATCTAGAGTTTCCTGAAACTTCTTCTCTTCTTCTTCTTCCTTTATTATTATAATACTTTTTTTATTTTATTTTTTTTTTTCGCGGAGTACAACGCCCTCTATTGGCGTTGCAGCAGGAGAAGCGAGAAGGGGTTGGTTTATCGATCGAAGATGCTCAACTCGAAAACACGTTTGGATTCTCTTTTTTTTTCTTTTTTCTTTTGTTTCTTCGTTCGAGCGTTGATTCAACTCGTTGCAAATTAGATTCTCCTTTTTATAAAAAAAGGAACTTGGCAAAGGAAGAAAAAGTAGACTTGTTTGAACTGCTGTTTATTCAGGTTGCATGAAATAAGGTTACATGGAAGCACGAGCGTGTGCTCCATTTTCGCTACCCCCTCGTAACAGTCGCGCAATTATGATGCAACATGTTGTTGCCGCGGGTACGATAATACAACGTTTGGAAACTTTCACGATAATGTCAGCTGTTGATCGGATCATTCGCGTTAATGTGGAAAAGAAGTAAAGAAACTGATCTGCAATGTGGTTAATAGCTGATCGATATACACCGAAAAAAGAAAGGAACAGAGCTAAATTGTCTATAATTTCAAGCTTGAAATGAAAGAGAGAAACGGAATAACGAATGTTATTGATACTGAGATCGATGTTACTCGAACGTAAGAAATAAAAAACGAATAGAAAGAAACGAGAAAAAAATAAATAAATAAATAAATACGCATGATTTTACGAGCATTTTCATGAGAGAGGCTGAAAAGTAGCGAAAGATATTAGACGTTTCAACTAGTTTCGAGGAGGGCTGTTGGTGAACAGAGATCAGAGAGAGGAGTAGAGTTAGAGGAGAGAAGAGACAGGAAGGAAGGCGTGCCGTTCGAGGGAAGGCAATGCAATACGCTTCACGCATTCTATTTCGTAATAGAACTGTACACTTAATTTTTAGTAGCCGAACGACCAAATTACCAACGTCGGTTTCACCGTGTCGTTTAAAAAGAGAAGAAAGCGAGAGAGAAATAGAGGAAGGATAAGGGACGCGGATCCGAATTCTCTTCCATCGAGATGCTAAAGAGAATGGAAATGAAAAGAGAAGGTAGGAAGGAAAATAGAAACAGGAAGAGAGAAAGCGAGAAAGAGAAGAAAGCAGAAAACGAGAAATAAAGAATACATATAGTCATGTCGAGTCACTTAGTGTTTTGTACATAGATATACATACGAGGAAAGTTATTATATATATGTACACATTATATATACACGGGATGTGTGCGTGCGTGCGTGTATGGGTGAGACACAAAATGAAGAGAAAGAAAGAAAATTAAAAATACGCTGATTGCACATGCAATTAATTAAGTTTATTAGCAGCGAGATTTCAAATGGAACAGGGAAACGTTTTTTTTAGAAAGTAGAGAAGCAATGATTGTTTTCCTTTCGTCCTTTTTTTTTTTTTTTTCTATTTACGTTTACGATAATCGTTTATCCAAATGAGTTTTCCTCTCGGAGGGCTGTGGCGCGACCCGTCGCTTATTGCAGTCGGTTCCTAAGATCGGTTGTGCCGCAGTGCATCTGTGAACGCTCGACACCTGGCGGATGTGTGAATGTGTGGATTGTACGTGCGTGTCCGCGCGAGTGTGTCGAATTTTTTTCGTATGCGAAGAAAACTAGAAAAAAGGAAAAAAAAACAAAGGTAGAACAAAATGTAGAGAGAGGATGTTGAAATTCGAAGGAACTTCTGAGCATTGAATTTGAATTGTCATGTGCATTTCAGAGTTATTATAACTCTTAAGCGAACTATCAATTTTAATTATATTTAATTTACACTGAATTGGTACGATGCAGGAAACATTGCAACATTGAGAACATAATAAGATAAGAGGGACATTATAAAAATTTTTAAACAATTGCATCAGCATATAATATAATGCAAACAACGTATATAATTATATCATAACATATGATATAACTATTAGTCTAAAATTAAAATTAATCAAGTAGACCGCTTAAGAGTTAATAGATACAATCGTTGAGGTTTTTCAATTTATAATTCTGTGGTGTGTGTGTATATATATATATATATACACACATATACATATTGATTTTAATAAGCATGTTTCATATAACTGTCAGATTCAACGCTTAGATTCGTTAAATTAAATATATTAGAAGTGACAAGCTAGCGAATTACTATGAAATTACCACTGTCTGTTCATCAGACAGGTTAAAAAATAATTTCACGAATAGAGCTGATCCTTGAAGTTTCTTCTGAAAAACTTGGCAAAAGGATGACCTTAGTGATTGAATTGCGTGATCGAAACTTTACAATTGACTGTTCTTCTTCCGAAACCGCGACTGTATATATGTAGGTAAGCTATACGAGGCGTACGATTAAGAGTTTAACACGTAATCCATGTAAGATAGAGCGATAATTAACGTGGCAGAGCGACAGAATCGAGAAGCGAAAGAGAAATCGTAACGGGAAGTTCAGTAGGACTGGACGTTTAGATATGTCGTTTGATAATTGAACCATTTTTTGGTGCTGTGATTTTTACTCTGTGGGTTTGTCAAGCACACGCAAAAACCACTGAACGTGAGATTTTATAGAATTTTCATTTATACATAATGTAAGAATGTTTTCGCTTTCTCGTGTTTGTTCATGAAGCGCAAGCATTTGAAAGAAAGATTCAAAGTACAAAATCAGATGATGCAACACTCGTCTCAATTACTAATTAAGACAAAGTCGTCAATAAAACAAAAAGAAAAAAAAAAGAAAGTTTCGAATACTCCGGAACAATGAAATTTGATATGCATGTATTTTATACGAATCACAGATTGTCACTCGGAAGTGCGTCGAATTTTTCAAATTAGAGCAATTAAAAAGAGATTTTCGTATTTTAGGTCTTTGTAAATATATAAATCTCAACCCCTTCCAAATTTTTCATCTCCACGAAAAGGAGAGAGAGAACCAAATGCCAAAACCAGAGATAGATTCCGGTCGTACAGACAGATCCACAGCACCAGAAGAATCGAACCTCAACTACTATCGTTCGTCCAAAGCATATTTATCGTCATTATATCACGAAGCCTATTTACAAAACGAGGTATAAACATTTAAGCTACCCCCCCCCCCCCCATTAATCTACGCTATATTGTAAGTGTAATTAGATCGCTAAGTAGTCGAAGTAGAATTATCCCCGACGCGAGACCAAAACGATGAAAATAGATGAAATAATATGAATCCCAAAAATAAATAACGGAAATTCAAACGACAGTAGTTGAGGACTAGCGTCCATCGTTCATCCGAAAGGAAAGAAAAAAGAAAAAATAATTAAAAAAAAAAAAAAAAAGAATTAAAAAATCCATGCACTCCGTTAGTACTTAAAGTGCGTCAACTAGAGTAAACGAGAGAAGGAGAGAGAGAGAGAGAGAAACAGGGAGAGACGAAGTTTGGGGAACGCGAATTCCTCTTCTTCTTCAATCAAGTCTTCTAAACGAAACGTAGTTAAATTGAAAAGAGAATAGGAAGAGGTACACGCGTTTCGTTCGTGCTCAAAGTGAATGAATCTGCGCATTCCGATTAAGAGACGTAAGAAAAAGATAAAAGGAAAAGAAAAAAAAAAAAAAACGAAAGGTATAAGAAAATTGGGAAAATAGCCCAGTGCCACAAAGCGAAACTTAGTTAGTAATATACTCTTCAAATAACCAAATCTTAGTACAACGTAGAGAGAGATCGAATAATATAAAAGAAGAAAATGAAGGAAAAAACGAATGATATACAGGCTGATGTACGCATGGCTGACCTTTTTCATACTTGTACTACTAGCGTACGGTAATGCGTTCTCTGCACGCACTTATATGTACGTATATGCGTATATATTTGTATACACATCGTATACTATGTACAGTATGTATACAAATAGACGTGTATATGTATATGTATATATAAATATTTGTATATTTTAAACACGTATCATTGTGTACCTTGGAAAAATGGGAACATTGTCGAGAGACGGGGGAGGGACGCATCGGAGCTACGTCGAGCAATGTAACCGGAAGTGACGGTGCCTTGATGCAGGGTCTCAGATTCTCTTGCAAGTTCGATCCGAGTTGGACGATCGACGAAATTTTTTCTTGAAAGTTTGCGTCGTTTCATTGCGAATTTTCATTTTAAAATTGTCGACGCAAGAGACAGACAGTAGTTTTTTTTTTTGGAACAGATTAACTGACCACGATTTACGGTGTTTAATGTGCACCTGCACAGTATATAACATATGCACGATATACATTTTATTCTGAAGAAGGAAAAGTAAAATTCGAAATAGAAAAATTGTGTGAAATATCACAATAAGCGTTGAGTGAAGAGAAGATCGCTCGTATTCGATTTACGCGTAAGTGTCAGTCTTAAAAACTGAGTAAAGAACTTTTTTTTTTTTTGTTTGCATTTGTTTGTGATGCACAGCGTCGCGTTTAATTTTAGGATTTATGCTCTTTTAAGAATCTTCATTTTATCAGTAGTACATTGCAGATTTGATTATATGTATAAGATATTGCATATATTGCTTTCTGATTTCTTTTTTTTTTTGTTTTTTTTTGTTTTTTTTTTTTTTTTTGTTTTTAGAGAATCGTGCGAATGAGATCGTGCCTTTGTCGAATCGCATGCGGCTTTGCTTGCACACTGGACTGCGTTTACACTGCTACTCGTGTAGAACAGTATATTAACCTGTATATTAACCTTCACGTGGTATCGTTGTATTATGTATGCCCGTGAAAATTTATTGAAATAAATTGATTTATCGAATATATTGATATAATGATATTACGCTACAGTATAATAACATTGAAATATTGATTTACTTGCGGTTACCGAATAATAGATCGTTACACGCCTGTAGTAATTTATTTATTAATGAAATTTTGAACAATTAATTTCACTTTGCATTTTGCAGTCTTTCCGGCAGAGATTAGGAATAAAATTCCAAAGCTGACCCTCTGTAACCTCGTGTTGTGAGTTACACGTGCACATTTTCAACATACGGTTGCAAAAATACCATAATAATAATTCATTTGTAACAGATTTTGTTAAATTGGAACAAATAACTACAATTAATTGATCGCCTTTCTCTTCAACAGGTAAACGAAACTCTGGTTGCAAAGGGTTAAGTGATGTAAAATTTAAATTATCATGGCTCCCGATGCCCAACGATACCATTTAAGGGTTCAGTTTAATGACAGATGTTCTAAAACTGTCAACATCGTCGTTCACGATCAAATCATTAGTATCAAATCACACGATCTTTCGAACGATCGACACACTACGCGCGTTGCGTCGAATTTTCACGAATTCGAGACAACTAACTGCGTTGAACAAAGCCCAGGAACGTTATATCGTTCCACAAACCTACATCCGAAGAATTTTTGGCTTTTCGGGAGATTTTTCTTTTTTTTTTTTTTTTTCCAAACGATATGTGTCAAGCGCGGTTCCATTTTTTTCTCTTTTTTTTTTCGTTTCCAAAGAGCTTTAAACGCGGGCAAATGGGATTTTCAGTAACAGTGTAAACAGACCTTTGAACGAAACTATGCGTCGAACGACGACTCGCTTCCATCGTGTCGTTTCTCTCGCGCCAGACCGCCGATAGAATTCCTTCTCTTTCTTTGCTTCTCTACTCTTCCGGAGCAAGTGCGTTTCACAAAAGGCAGGACGGTAGAACGACGACCGAGGAAAATTTTATGCACCGTTCGCGAAACATATTTTTTTCCTTTCTCTCTCTCTCTCTCTCTCTCTTTCTCTCTCTTTTTTTTGCTTTTTTTTACGAACAGAACGCCGTTTGTAACATCACGATTCACGGCACGATTACTTTCCACCACCCTTTAATAAGTAATACACGCAAGCCTGGATGGTAATTATCTGCACATTGTAGACGTTTTACACGGAGGCGAGACGCGTTCAATTATAACACAGAGAAAAAAAAATAACGAAGTGCGTGACAAATGTGTACAGGTGATCATTGTGGAAAATTTTTGAGAGGTTTTCAACAGGTAAAATGATTCCATTGTTGGAATGGAGTAATTCGAGAAAGATGTGTATCAAATATCTTTCTAAATCTTGCTAACTTGTTTCAGAGAGGAGATACAATTTTTTTTAGTACCTAAGTATCAAACATTTATATAATTTAATCGTATTCTTTATCTATACAGCAATACAAGAACTGCAAACATCAATTCATTCGAGTGTTGAAAATTTAAAGAACGATTCGTGTATAATGTTAACAGTAAACAATTTTCCTATTTTTTATTTCTGTAAAGAAATAAATATTCAATAATACGCTTGCGAAAAGATAATCGAAACGAAGCAAATTCAATGGTTTTGATTTAGAAACGAGGTCCAATGTGAGTTTGATATTATCGCTTTAAAGAAGGGTACGTAGAATGAAATCTGAGATGACGAGCGTTGTAATTGTTCTTTTAACAAACAGTATTTCAGATGCCAACATTCGAGTACACCATCCGTTATATAAAATTTCATTTTTGAAACGAAATGAACGGAAGATCAGAATCTCCCGCAGCTCGAAACTTTCGAATTTAAACCTAGTTTACAATTTTCAATAATCGAACATTCACAGCACATGAAAGATATAAATTATTAAAAATCCTGTTCATAAAACAGATAAAATGTCAAGTTACCAAATGATCCTTTTTAGACACGTAGTACAATCTTTACTGCCATTTTAGTAAATGTTTCGAATTTAAAAAATTATTTAAATCTATCACTCTCCATTCAAACCCCCCCCCCCCCAAAAAAAAGTTAAGACAGATTGTCACACAACTCCTCTTAAATACGTAACCTAATCCCAGTAGATAATTCACATCTTCGACAAATTTCAGCAAGTAGGAACACTCATTTCGAAATCAATCATTTCGTAGTTCTCGACCTGAATCGATCCAAATCAACTCACAAACCTAACCCATAAGCAGCGTGCCAACACGTCGGTATGTAGTTCACTCTCATCACGAAGAGCACCGTCCACACGACACGAAAACCACGAGACCACCACGCCACCCCTTTGCAATTTTTCACGCGTCGAAAAACAGCGTCGAATCTAACGCGCGAACCATTGGATTTCCAGTACTACGCTCCGGCAAACGCGATTGGCAATACCGAGGGCGACCAGGTACACAGCAATACGCATACCCAGGTGTAAACTACCTGGACGAGAGCCCAGGCGAGTCGCCCGCCATCTCCCTGCCCACGCCTCCACCGCCGCCGCTGATGGCGGCCCTGCCTCCGCCGCCGCCGCCGCCGCCCAGAAGACCGCCACGAAGAAGCGTCACATTCGCGGAATCGCCGCCCAAGAGCCCGAAGAAATCGAGGTTCTCGCCGTTCGTGCGCAGGCCGAGCATCACGATGCTCGACATCGCGGTGCCGTGGACTCCAGCTTCGCCGCGCGTCTGGAGCGGTCGTCCCGGCGACTACAAACCCGAGTACATCACGTAAAGGAAAGAAAAGAGAGAGAAAAAAAAAAAGGAAAGAATGAAAAGAAAACGAACGAGAACAAGAAACCAAACAAAGCACGAAAGCTCCTGTCCCGAACCGGCTGGTCGATCGTTTCGGAATACGGTTCGATCGGCCGGCAAAGTCTGACAAACATCCAAAAAAACAAAGATCCACCAATGAGTCCAATGAATCCCGAGCAACGCGTTTGCCGTTAGTCGAATCTCCGCGACGCTCGATTTCTCGGCGCCACCCTCGGTTGTCCTCGAGCTCCGCGCTCGCGAGACGCTCTCGATGGGGAATTCGAACGTTCGAGCGTATCGAGGCTCGACGAGGATTCGCTCGTTGACCGTGTTTCCAAGTTCCTCGAATCCATCGTACTGCCAGACGCGTGATTTTTCGAGTATCCGCGGACGCGTCGAGTCCTTTTTATTTTCCCCAGCCGAACGCGTTCTTTTCTCGCGGGAACGGAGCTGAGGCGGAGGCCGATGTCACAGATGGGGCCGTGTCACGGCCGATCGACGAAGATCTCTCGGTCACACGCTCGTTCGTTTCTCGCGCTCGACGGAACGAACGACGGAACGATCTTCTACGGCGTAGTTTGCCGTATCTTCGTGGTATCGGTCGTGTTTGTACATTGTATATATTACGTATTGTAATCGAATGGGACGAGGCGAGTCGAAGGTGTAGAAGAGAAGCTACGGAGAGAAGGACAACACGGTACGACCGGCTACCAGGCGACGAGAACAGGTCGCGAAATTCGATAGTAGAATCCGATGGTCCTGGGGTGGGTGCATGTGCAACCAGCAACTCGAACTAA